TAATACTTTGAGAATTGTTAGATATAGTGTTTTCTTTTCTAAGTTCATTTATATTTTTTTGGTAGATTTTGCATTCTGCTAGATGATACAAAGTTTTGTTTTTTCTGAAGCAGACTATGTATCTTCTACTCTTATATAGTTTGGGATTTCTCAAATAGTAGATATCTTTTGTTAGTAAAATATTATTAATGCATTTTATATGAAATATAAGGTCATAACTCCATAATTACAAATTAATAAAATCTAATCAGCCAAGGAAGTAGCCTTAATTAACAAAAAAAAAAAAAAATGAAATATAAGGTCTTTGCTTTTCTTTAGACTGATACACTTTTTCTCTTATTATTTCTTAAGTACTTTCCAAGTATTTTTCTAAATTGGCTCTTTGCTAGGATTATCTCCTTAGTTCAAGGCTATGATATCTGCTGCCTTGCTTAGTTTAGCCTATTCTATTTTATATATTATTATAGTTGTTATATTTATAAATAACCTGAGTGAGCAGTTTATTATTTAGTTTTTCTACTTCAATATAGCTCGAATATTATCTAGTATTATCTCAGATACTTTAAGTATATTAGTTCTCTTAGTACCTTTTTTAGCTAAGTAGTCTATTTGCTCATTCTATTTGTCACTACTATGATCTTTGACTTTATGTAATGACAAATTTAGACTTTTTGCTATACAGCAATCTTTTATTTGTTTCAATAAGCTTCTGTTTTTCATTTTAAACTAACTTTTTAACTTGTTATTACTCATAAACTTTTCAATAGCCTTTATTGCTACTTTGCTATTAGTGAATATATGTATTTGAGCCTTACAAGATACTGTTAGCAAAGCTACCTATATAGCTCCTAATTCTGCACGAGTTGATGAAGACTAGTTTTCTATACCACAACTAAAACTAATACTACTATCTATCTCTTCTCTATTTCTAACCAACTAATCAACTCCTATTTTGCCTAATTCTAGCTCTCTACTACTTCCTGCTAGTATACCATTTATGTAATACCTAATAATCTCCTTCTCTTTTAGCTTCTTATATACATCTACTAGCTCTCTTTCAATTCTTTTATTCTCTACTACTCTTTGTATAATTATACTTTTGAGACTATCTGCTATAATCTTTACTGATACTTCTTGGTTTGTCTTATGATTTGTACAAAATTCTTTTTCCTCAATAAGTACTGATAGTAGTACTTTCAATATTGCTTCCTTTTCATTAATTTTTTTTACTTTAACTACTTGAGACCTTTCATCATATCTGATACTAACTAGACACTCATTATTACTAGTGCTTCCTATATTGCAATAGCTATATTTATCAAATAAGTAGTTCTCTGCTAGTTAGCTTAATTGTCTCTAGTACTTAACTATTACAAGCTTCTCTGTTTTCTTTACTATTTTTCCTATATGAAAGCATTCTCTTTTTTTAAAAAACATATATTTTCTTTTCTATCTATCTTTAGAAATTACTGATAGTTAAGTTTTTATTACTTCTCTATTCAGACTCTTTACTTTAAAGAGGTTTTGTACTTCTTTAGAGCTGTTTTCTTTCAGTATCCTTTCTTCAAGTTTTTTAAACTAGCTCAAAGTATGGCTTTTTGTTTTTCTACCTCTTATATATTTTAGTTGATTCTAGATTAGCAGATGACTTTCTGTACTATTTATAAGCTATTCTAGTATAAAAAAATTTATCTTGTCTAGATTTAAAAAGGAACAAAATTTTTTTATATCTAGTAAGCTTAATATTTCTGTTATTTTAATATTGAGAGTATCAGAGTCTTCTAGGATCTCATTGATCTTTATGTTTAGTTTAGCTACTTTATATAATACTTTTATAGTCAGGTTATATATAGAAACTGGCTTATTAAACTTATAGTCCTTGTTTAGAGAACTGCATAAGTATTTGCTTCATAGTTAACCTTTTTTGACTCTTAGTCTTGTTATTACTCCTAGAGGACCTTGCTAGTTGAAATACAGAGTAAGCTCTATAAAGTGATATATGAGCTAGTTTTGCCAAATTGATTTTATGTCTAAAAAACCTATATAGCTACAAATTGAGTTTGCTATTGACTTAGCTAGCTCTAGTTTGTTTTTGATTAAAATCCAAATTAGTTTTTATATATTTTTGTATTTTGATTTGCTTATAAATATTGTTTGTAGTCTGTATTTTATACTAGGTAGCAAAACACTATTGTTTAAGTATATGAGCTAGCTTGCTGATACTTTTTTCTACCTTATAGTTTTGTATATTCTGCTTATTTTATTTCTTATAATGTTTAGACTATAATGTTGCTTTCCTTTTCCTGAGATCCAAACTTCTAAGTGTCTTACTATATCTTTGTCTTTTTTTATGAGGACTTTATCCTAATTCTTTCCTACTTTAATTGCTAGTATCTCTTTTTTTTTCTTTTTTTTCTTGGCGTTCACAACTATTAGCTCTGACTTTTTACTATTTATTTTAATATTATTTATCTTATAGAACTCATTTGAGATATTTACTATTTTCTGTAGCTTATCTTTGGATCTTGTTATCTAAGTTGTGTCATCTGCATAAGCAAGCATGACTTGTTAGTATACTAGTCTTTTGGTTTTATTATAAGCTATATCTGTTGGCTAGTTTGTTGCTATCTGATATCTCATATCTTTTGTACTATTTACTATACAAAGAAGTAGGTCATAAAAGATACATCAGACTAAAGATGAGATTATTTCTTCTTGGTTCAGTCTGTCTTCAGCTTCAAATTCATTTATTAGTTTAAAGCTTATAATCATTTTGATTCTTCTTTTCTTATACAAGCTTAATATGAAATTAATCATGTTTTTTGAAAGCTTAATTCCTTTCAAGGCTTTCTCTAATATTTCTAAGCCTATAGAGTCAAATGCTTTCCATATATCTTGGAATAGAATCTATAACTCATTGTTTTTTTGTCTTGTATCCTCGAGTAAATTGTTTATTATATAAATTGAGCTTATTGTGTTATCATCTAGCAGCCTAGTGAAATTAGAACCTTCCAAGATATTGAAGTCTACTAGAGTTTTGTCTAGTCTATATATTAGGACTTTTATTACTGTTTTGTAAAAAGTTTTAATTAAAATAATTAGATGAGTATTAAACAAGTTATAATTCCAATTCTCTTTTTTAGATATTAGATAAAGTTAGCTAAGCTTCTATTTAGACAGAATTTTTTCTTCTTTAATACAAAAATTAGTGAGATGTCTAAATATTTTTTGTACTATTGTACTTGCTTTTTTTATTAGTAGATAGCTTATACCAGATAGACCTAATACAGACTTAGGCTTTGGCTTTTTAAGTGCCTTTAACTATTCTTCTTCAGAGATCTTATCTTCTAAACTGTCATATATTTTGCTGTCTACTTTTTTTAGTAGATTATATACTTTTTTCTATCTAATTAGCATATCTAAAGTATAGGTATTTCTTTTACAGAATTGCTTTTTAAAATAGTTTTTCACTTCTTCTAGTATTTCTTCTTTCTGGTTCACTAGTACTATGTCTGAGTTGTCATCCTTAATGATTCTGTCTATAACTACTCATTTAGAAGATCTTTCAAGTAAACTACTTATTATATATTTGAGTTTTCCTTGTATTGCTTTACAGCATTGTTTAATTACTGTATTAATTTCTTTAAGATCCTCTTTCTTTCTTGCTTGCTGAGCTTTTAAATATGTAATCTTCTACTATACCTTTAGCTCTTCCTGTTTTTTTTTGGTCTACATACTTTCAAAGAGCTCTTCAATTTCTGTTTTATACAGACTATTTATTCTTACTATTTTTGTATTCATTAAGTACTTGTCTGTACTATTAATATGCTGACCTATTTTCGATAAGTATTGTTAGCACATACTTTTGATTATCTTTAGGTCTTTCTTAATATTTTTGCTCTCTTTCTTTTTTTTTGAAATAGGCTTTCTTACTATAGACTTCTTTTCTAGAAAAGTTAATCTTGCATACTTGATTATACTTGTTACAATTATATTCTACAAGTTATCTTTGTTTAATGTCTCAAGTAAACTAGATTATACTTATCTTTTATGATATTCAGCTTCTTCTTAAGTAAACTATCTAGTTTTGTTTTATAATCTTTTCAGTTTTCTTCTATTACTTTGTTAAGAAAGAATAACTATCTTTTCTCTTTTAGTCTTTTTTCACAAGCCAGAGATCTAGTTTTCTTTTTTATACTTGTTAGTATTTTTGCAATTACAATAGCATAGTTACTGTTTGTGACTACATCTGCTTCTAATATATCACAATAGGTAAGGCTTTGGCCTAGATCCTTAGATACTCAAATATAGTTAATTCTAGACTTTACTTTATTATTTTCTCTTGTAAATTTCTTTTCACAAAGATGTAATTTCCTAAATAAATCAATTATGTTAGAGTTTTCAAGCTAGTTTAGAAGTAAGAGTTTTTGAGTTCATCTAGAGTCTTCTCTGTTCTGATCTAGCTCTCTGTATTGAATGTCATTAAAGTCTCCTAATATTATAACTTTTATAGCTTTTTCTTTATTTTAACATTCAAATATTCTTTTAATGACCTGTTGCTGAATATCTTTTCTAATCTTAAAATCATTATGTGATATGTATATTACTAAAACTAGCATTTTATACTTTTTGAATACAAAAAGTGTTTCTAAATAATATGTATTTCTTCTTTTTACTTGGCTTAAGTGTCTTTTCTATTTTTTACAAATTATTAGACTAATACTAGAACCTTTCTTCTTATTTTTTTTTTTCCTTAGACAGTCATGTCATAAACTTTATTAGGTTGTTAACCGTAGCTATAGCCAAGTTACATATGATTTTTCAATCAACCTAATTTCCTAAACTTGACATCACCCAGCTGCTACTAGAGTACTCAGATGCGACCTGTCGCACTAGTCTAAAGAGACTAGAGAAACTATGTCTGACTCTCTTACGCCTCACAATTAGCTACTACCTAACTGATAATAACCTTTCATAGAAGGAAAAAAAAAGCTAACCTGATGGTTTTTAACCCTCTTTTGTTAGATTTCACTAACAGAAAAGAATACGAAAACCAAAACAAATATTTGAAAATTATAGGAGTAAGTCTACTACTTAGCCTAATCTCCTATTTACATAAAACGAAAAGTCAAAACATAAAATAAAGGAAAACAAAACAGGAAAAAACAAGGCTAAAAGAGGAAAATAAAAAAGACAGAATAGTAACAAAAAGA